AATACAAGTAAGACCATTTAGAATTTTTTTATTATTATAAATACTTATACTTATTAATATTTTTAAACTAATTATATAGGGTCCATCTTATAGAGTTAGGGCTCGATGAATAAACTCTATTTTAAACCTTTTTTTCGAATCAAATATTTAATTATATTATAAAAATGCAAAGTCCTCGCTAATTAAATTTGTTTTAACGCCTTAATATACAAGCAATCTAAAAATAATAGAAAGATCCACATTGCGCAAGATCTCATCTATAAATAGGTATGTTGGCCACTAAAATTTACATGTAGCTTTATTCTAAAAAAAGTTGACGTTTTCTATTAACCCCCTTACCGTTATACACAGATCTTGAAGCCGATTAGATTTATTAGAATATTGTTTAGAGGGAAGTTGTACATGTAACCTTTAAAACAGACCCTATATTATATTTATATTGGTAATAGCTTACTAGTTGGCTCGTCCGGGACCGATGGAAAACAACCGCGGCCTAGAGGTTGCGCGACAATACTCTAACCACTGAGCTAACGGTGACAGCTTACATGTTCAATCGATAAATTACGTATACAACCGTTTTAGGATTGACGACCTAGTTTGTAGTGTTAACGTCCCCTTTCTTTTGTTATTTACACTAGTTAAGACTAGAATATGACATCTGAGCCCTGTAACTTTAACTATTCAAAACCTTGTATAAAATTAGTATAAATGGCTATTAAAGGCCAAAGGAGATCATATATGAATATGTGTGAGCCTTTTCTTATATATTCCAATTTCATTTTCTATTAATAGAGGGCCGTTATATCCGCTCAAGTAAATTGATAATATTGTTCAGTCTTGAATTTTAGTGTAATTTAAATATTTTTAAGGAGGCCCTTTTGTGTTGATCCGAATTACATTTCGGCCTTTCTGTTTTATTCTATATAGTTATCGTTTTAAAGTAGAAGATATAAAGTAGGACTAAACTGGAACTACTTTATGTAAGAAAAAGATCACGTTTTAATTTTTAAAAGTAATTGTCATTTTAGGAATTTATATTTTTAGTTAAAAGATTGTTTTAAAATGTTTACTTGCAGTGGTCAAGTAGAGGGTTTCTGCCCTAAATGGGAAGATAATAGTTGGAGGTCTGGCTAGAACTAATGCTGCGGGACCTCTCAGGCTAGTTTTACCCGATGCTGCCTCTCCTGGTGGTGGTTATGGGGTTTCTTACTACTTTTAGCCAAATGGCGGGAGTCCAACCAGAACACGCCTCCGCTACCCCTACTGGTTGACTGGGCGTAGTAAGCTAATGCTAAAAAAAATTAGAAATAAATTAAATAAAGTGTCTCAAAGGTGAGATCAAACAATCGTCAAAGCGCCACCGACCATGTCGGCATTGCTAACCTGATTTAAAGCCAGAGTAGGGTTAGCCGTGACACCGCAACTGGTGCCTGATCTTCGCAATTATCGACACGAGTTTTTTTGTGGGCGATAGGTAAGATAACCGAAAAAACAATACTAATAAAAAACGATTGGACACCAGCGCTGTCTACCTAGGCGCTGAGAGGGCTTCTGGCCAGTGACGTAATTTCACACTCTAGCAAAGCAGTGCAACCTTCAAGTTGTGCTCAAGCCTTACCTAAAAGGTCGGGTCTTCCATATTCGTAGTCCAGGTCACTTTTTTTACTACTTCAGTACCTACAATCATATCTTATCGACAATGAGACCTCCCCATTAGGGCAGCAAAGTGCAAAGTGCTTCTTTTAACGAAGAAAAACTTTGCCCCGCTGACACCAATGACCTTTAAAGATATGGAAATACCTTGGTTTCCTCGGGTGAATAACTGGGCACCATAATTTGATGTTGCCGTAGCCTCCGCACTTGAGTTATAAAAGTAAGCTTATGTTGTGCAAAAAGCGAAGGCTGCTGTGTTGTGCATTCGGTTGACATTGACGTATCACATCTGCTAACTGTTGGCAATAGCGTCCTCCCTTCGATTGCGACGGAATAATATGCTGTGCCTTTTAACAAAGCGCCGTTGGCAATAACATGCCTCATCGCGAGCTAGGTTTAGCACCTAACCACATTGCTTAAAAACAATATCGCCGCCTTTTACGGACGTATAGTTTGACTCACTAAACGTCTTTTAAGCAGAAGAACGTACTTACGAGACGTGAGGCGACACATAATCTCGCCCTCCGCGTGGTGCACTCCGAGAGTAACGTTAGAAACTAAGTGGAAGGTTTGAATTAACGCGAAGAATACCTATATTAACCCTCAACTAAGCTACGAGCCAAACTGCCCCAGACAAGCTTTACAGTGCTCCACTCCTAATTGTGGGCATGTCAAAGACATGTCTGCCTCACATGTATTGTGTAAGCATAATAATGTATAGTAACCCTTCCTTGCAATAAAAATGATATTATCAATTAATTATGTATATTTCTTATTTACATTTAGGAAGGATTAGTATAACCCTTGGTTAGCCGATACGTTACTTTCTTGGAAGATAATTCTCCCGAGTTTAGATAACTGTTTAACTTAAAATGTAGGTGACTAAACTTGTTTTCAAGCTCATAAATAAACAAGTAGTAGCGTTTCTTTTATAGTCTGCATTTTTTTTTTGGTCCTGTATTATATATATATTACTTTGTTCATCTAACACTTTAGTAAAATAATAAAAACTAGGCGGCGGATTTAGAAATTCTTAAAGCTGGTCGATAATAATTTATGAATAGGTTAATAAAAAGTTAGTAAAAGGTGCTGAGATTTGCGAAAGCGGAACTTTAACAAGAGATGGAAAAAAAAAAATTGTTTTACTCATCCATCCAAAAAAGATTATACAAGGTTACTGAAGATTTTTTTATTCAGTTAAAGCTAATTTTTATTTCATATAAAATTAATTCATTCCAGAGTATTATTCTTTTAAACTGACGTTCAAAAACGCGCATAGGACTTGTCCCCTCCAGGAGTAGGCTAAGTCAATTCTCCCTAATACATTAATAAAAATACACACATATAAAACCAAAACAAGCATTAAAAACGTACTATCAAAACGAATAATCACATAAACACCAAGATGTTCCGAGATAACTGTACATAGTTACCTAACTTATACGACAAAATTATAATTATAACCAATAATTAAAAAAAAATTATTTTAAAATAAATAACGCAGTTAAAATAATTTAAATATACGTAAAAACGAAATACAACCATATCATTAACAACAAACCATTTTTAAAATAGTTTTAATTACAGCAAATCTAAAACAATTGAATAAAGAAATTTGTTTATCTTAAAAAAGTACAAATTTTATTAACTACTTCATGAATATATATAAATACTCTTAACTGTTAATAAAATAAGCGTTGCTGACTTTTTACTCTTTCTATGTATGGTTACTAAATCGCTTATCTCTGTATGAAAACTGTTATTTAGATGTTTTCACTTCTAATTAAATACTTTAACTAACTTTACTACTTTACTTTGGACTTTGGTTCCACTAAATGTAAACTTTACTATAATTAGCACAAAAAAACATTATAAAGCAGACATTCTTTAATTACATCCATCCTCCATTTTAGTTGAGTTTTATACTTTGATTTATAATATTTTCGATAAAGAAGAGAAGGGGGTATGGTAAATCTCAAATTTAATTGCAACTTTGCATTTAACATTTGGATTATTGATCTCTTAATATATAAACTATTTATAGTTAAAATTTTTAACAGTTTTTTATCAGATTGAGTACTACAAAAGGCCTATATATATAGAAAAGTTTTTGAATAACGAAGCTGAAGGCAAAAGATCATAACTTTCGTTTATGCCGAAATCTAAAACTTTTGCTATTTTTAAAATAAGTGTGAATAATTTTATAACGATGAATAAGTGGAGAGGAAGAGAAACTAAAAAGTTATCAACTGCATAGCGATACATTATTTCCATTGAATTGCAAGTGCGCCTGCTAACAAAAAATGTAAATTTCTATAAAAAGACAAACTTGATAGAGAAAATAAACAGAACTTTCTAAATGTGACGGTTAAAGGCATGATAGTAGTTGTCGATTATAACATTTTCAATACTTTCGGAATAATCTAGACTTATTTAGTCAAATACACTGTGTTGAAATATTGATGTGTATATAGTCTATGTATTTGCAGAACTACATATATATTTTTTCATAATAAAATTTAACTTATATTTTTTAAGTATTAGTAAAGATAAACGCAGATAAAACTCAGAATTTATTTTCTTTTAAGTTTTTCTTTTTAACTTTTGAGTAGCAATATAAAGATCTTAGTTCCTAAAAAGAATTAAAGGAATTCAACTCTATTGTAGTTTTTTATAACATATTTATATCATTTAAGAAAAACTCGCCAAATAATCATCACCCATAATGAAGTAAAAAATAATTAAACGTTTTTTTTTTGTATTATAAGTTTTAGTTTTTCAGTATTCTAATTATACATAAATTGGGCGAAAATTTTTTAATAAACAGGTTTTTTATAAAAAGTTTTTACAGTCTTAATTTAAACACTCTAACTCAAATAATTTAGCACTAACTTTTAAAGATCTTAAAATAACTAAAGTTACCACGAAAAGTTTTAAATTTAGATCGTTGTAAATTTTATTGTTTTTTTTAACTTTTACGTGGAGTCTGAAGGTTAAAAAGTTCGCTCACCTGCAACCAAAAATTAACTTGCGGATGCTTTCACTGCTTGAATAAACTTTTTAAGAAGCATTACTTATAGATTAGAAAAATTATACTACTAAAAAGTTAGAATACTCCCCTGTGTTTTGTTGAAAGAAATTAAGTAAGAGGAACGAGGTAAAGGAAAAATAGTTATGCCACAACCACCGTGAAACATTAAGTCGCTTTTACAATAAAGTTTGCTTATAGCATAAAAGTTTTTCTCTTTTTTTTTTTGAAAGCGTTATACTGCTGGTAGTTAAGAATATATATTTTTTACTGAGTGCAGATAATGAAAGATTGAAAAATCTTTTAAATCAATTTTATCATGACTGAGATAACAGAAACCCCCGAAGAGTTAACTGTTAGACAACTTATTAAAGGGATTAACGAATATGCTTATGACAAACTTCCTCCAACAAAATTAAAAAAAGTGTAGTTGCTTATTTTTTTTTACTCTCTTTTTGTCTTTCGTATAAAATTAGGACGAGTATGTTCAAATCTATAAGAAATTCGTTACCCCTTTAAAGGGTCAAAAGCCTAATGATTGGAGCTCTCGTCTAAAAAATATTTCTGGTGCTTCTGAGTCTTTAAAATTAATTAACTTTATTTAATTTTAATAATATTAAGAAATTTATTATCTTTTTTTAATATTTTTTTAATATTTTGTTTCTTTCATTTGAATTATTATAGTCGAAATTGTTATTAATATTTTATACTCTACTTAAATTATAACCTTTGAAAATTCGATAGGTGCACATTTTATTTATGATATTATCTCCTAAATTTATCAATATTATTATTATTACATATCATTTAATAAGATTTTTAGTTCCAATATATGTAATAAAATTTTATAAATATTCTCACAATTAAAAAACAATTGAAACTGTTAAGTTTTTTATAAAAATCAAACGCATAATTCTATTATATTTGTACCTTTTTATATAATTTATTTATTGTATATTAATTATTAGCCGAAAAATCTCCAGAATGCGTAAACAAATATAATTCCTCGCTAAATTCTACTCCGCTCCACTCCGCACTGCACGACGACTATTTAATAAAAAAACGTTCTCTAGAATTTCCCGTTGAAAAAATTTCCTCAATTAATAATTTAAGGCGCGGGAAAGTTACTACTTATAAAGTTGACAGACAAGTACGGAAGTTCTCTAAATTTTTTGTAAGTTTTCTTTATTTTTTTACAGTTCTTATAAAGATTAAAAAAAATGATTTTTTGATGATTTTTAGCCTTTCATTTTATTATAAATATGTATAATTTATTTTTCTTGAATTTTTTTAATTTGATTACAATTTAATTAATATAACCCATTACGTACGAAAGATTTCTATTTCTCATAAAAGTTTTCTTATTTTACAGATCTTAAAAAAGATTAGATTTGTGGCGTACACATGATTTTACTGATTTTTAGCACTTATTAATAATATTTACTTTTTTTTAAAATCTTTCATACAAATCAAATTAATTAAATTAACTCTAACAACAGTTATTATTCTGGATTCTCCTCCTTGTAATTCTCTTTGCGGTTTACATAAATACCAGCGAAAATCCTACAAAGGAAGTAGGAAAACCACAGTGGCAGGATTTTGTTTTCAAGATCCTCAAGAACCAACGAGGTGATTAACATAATTAAAAAGAAGAAATAAATCTCAGACACGTGCCTGCTACGTCGCTTAGCTAGAGAACTTGCCGTTTTTTGATCGTTATTGTATTATCACATGTTACCTGCACACCGTAGACCACGTTTTTTACGAAGTTCATTATCACTTTAAACTGATCTGCAAAGTTTTTATATTAACAATCATAATAGTCATAATAATAGTAGTAATAAACACTACATAAATTTAACATTACTTATAAAGTAAATTATAATAATATTTTATAGTTAACACTGATAATCACATGGTCACACTGCATATCTGTCTAATTAAGTTCCGCCTATTCTATGTTTGTCCACATTTTTACCAACCCCGAAGGTATAAATGCCCTTCCTTTACGGGATAATAGATTGATCACTCGTCCTCCTTTTTTCTCCGTCAAATAATCGCTGAACCTTTATTGCTGGTTACGTGATTGACTATAATTGCATAACCCACGCGTTTCTTGGCTTATAGGCGTTTTGAGAAATAAGTGCTCCATTATTTTCTAGCCAATAGAGTTGTTCATAAATTTATATACCAAATAAATAAATTAGCCAATAGTGAAAAAGAAAAAAATTATATATATAAAAATAGGAGCCCATAACTGTGATCCCGGAAATTCTTATAAAGTTTCTTTCGAAGAGTTAAAATATAAGTTTGCTAAAAAGGTTTATTATTATTACTGTTATTATTTTATTATTATTATTATTATTATTATTATTATTATTATTATTATTATTATTATTATTATTATTATTATTATTAGTTTGAAGGGTCTTCTGAATTTTTATTGCTAAAAACGTTATTGCAGTTGGAAAACAACCCGCACACTAAAATAGAAGGCAACCCACGTGATGGGTGCTTTTTATATATTTACGACTTTAATTAGTTTTCAATAATTATTATGATTATTTACTTTTGGTTTACAGTTTTTTTTATAACTTTATTATTATATTCTATATAATAAATATATTATTTTATGTGTAGATATTATACAAATGCTGACTATTTTCCGGTGCTTTGCCGTTTAAAAAAAATAACAGCAGCAACTATTAGTTTTACTATACGTGCATTTATAGGTGATAATAATAATAATTCATTATAATTTATAATTTATATATTAATAATTTCATTATTTTTCTTTCTTTTGTGAGGAACACTACTTTTTATACTTTCTCTCCTCGTTATAATAAATATAATAAACCGAAGAAAAGCTAAACTTGAAGAGTTTAGAGGGAACGTGCAGGACCTTCATCAGAAAATTATGAAGAAACTTCGCTCTAAAAAGGTTGATAAATACCTTTTTTTTCCCGCTAAAAAAAAGTTGACATTCTTTTTAGTGAATTTAAAATTTTGCGCCAATATTTATTATTTTTATAAGAAAGTAAATAATTAAGTGCGCATTTATTTTTACAATTTTTTTAAGGAAATGTAACATTTCAAAATATAAACTTCAATACTATTTTTACACTAAAAAATTCCATTGCGTAAATCAATAGTTTTGATGAAAATATTTACTTTTCATTATAAAAAGACTACATTTGTTTTGTATCTTGTCCTCTTTCTCTCGTGAAGTTATTTGTTGGGTTTTCATAGAAAAAAGTAATAATATTTTGGCGGAAGAAGTGAAATAATTTCTATTACTATTCTAAGAGTAATTATATATGTTATTATTACTTATTAGGCAGAGCATACACGTTAATTGCCTTAATATTATTAGGATATAAAAGCCAATCATAACTTTAAAAGTTTTTTAGTAGCTTTAAAGCCTCCCAAATATTTTCTAGAAAATTTTTTAGCCAATTAACTTATTGTTAATTATTAAAATTACGTTTGAAAAAAGAATTATTGGCCACTAGAATTGGTTATTAATTTTTTATTGGCTACAGTTAATATGCATTTTCTCCAGGAAAGTTTAGATTAAGGCTACACTTAGCAGTACTAAAAAATCTTAATAATGAATCAATTTTTTATATTTGGAAATAATCACAAATTTGCTTGGAAGTTCATGAACTTATAAAATTTATATTCACGGCAAAAAATATTTTAATGAGTACTGATACTACTATTATTTATTACTGATCATTTATTATTATTATCAATATAATGGCTACTTCTTTTTATAAGGATTCGTTATTTTTCATTCTTATTATTTTGGTCCAATAAGAGATATGAGGTGTCCAAATTGCGTCTTGAAGTAATTGAAGGACCCCAATTTCTTCCTTATATAGAAGATAAGTCGGAAAGGGAATTGTTATGGAAAGCAGTTGAGCATTAAAAATAATGAAAATATTAACCTTAGCTATAATTTTAATGATAATAAAGAAATAATATAATTATAATAATAATAAATATAATAAGAAATAGAAATAATAATAAATAATAATATAAATAATATAATATTGAGTGAATATAAAATAGTTGGTAATTTATAATAATTAAAGTATATTTTTTGACCAATAAAAGTTCATATATTTTATCCAGGCGAAATCACTAGTCCAAAATGACCAATTGCATGTCTCCGAATACACCGTGGATGATATGGGAATAGCAAAGTTGGTGGCGATAAAAATTTTCCATTATATATTTTGAATTTTTTTGAATCTTTTCTCATTTTTTTATTAGTAATTATTATGAATACTATTAAACTTATAATAATAATATCGTTAAAGCCATTATCCGCTAAAAATATTGTTCATATTTTTTTTCTATTTTTTTTAAGAATTTACTATTTTTTAATGAATAATAAAATATTACTTCCTAAACATTTTATTATTTTTATCATAAAAATTTTATGTATTTATCTTTTTTCATTATACTTTTTGGTTTACTATAAAAAATTTCATTTTTTTTATTTTTTAATTATATACATTAGTAAATATATATACACATTTTTAATTTTTTTAGATTTAATTTTTATTAAGATTTTAATTGTTTCATTTTTTTTGATTTTTTTTTAATTTGCTTTCATTATAAATTTTTTACACTATTTATTTTTTTGTGACTTCGTGACCTTTCTTATAACTCAATTTATATATTTTCATAATTTTTTAATTATTATTGTTTTTATAATTTTAAATATTTCGTTATTTTTTTATATTAAAAAAAAATAGTTTTTTTTAAATTTTTGGTTAATTATTATTTTGATTTACTTATAGTTTCCTATATTTCATTATTTTTTTTTAAATTAAATATTTTACTTAATAAATAAAAAAAGGTTTTGTTAGATTACTAACTTTTTATTTATCCAGAAACAACTTATATTTTATTATTTTTAATATAAATTTTGCTTTTTTTTTATAATTACATATATTTCATTATATTAATTTCTTAATACTTAATAGATTCCATTAATTTTATATACAATATTTTATTTTTCCTACATAATCTCATATATTTCATTATATTTTTATTAATAAATATTTTGTATATTCCATTATTTCTGTATAAATTATTTAATTTTATTATTTCCTATTTCATATATTTATTTATAAAAATTTAGTATATATCATTAGATTTATATCAAATATTTTATATTTAATTATAAATAATTTCATTATATTTCAATATTTTTAGACAAAATATTTTATAGTTATTATTTTTTATAAATATTTATTGTTTTATTAATCTTTATATCAACTATATTATTTTTTATTAGTAAATAATATTACATATTTCATTGTTTTAAGACAAAATATTTTATATTTTTATATAAAATATAACATTTTTTAATAGCAAATAATTTTACATATTTCATTATTTTTAATGTAAATTTCGATTTTTTTTTTCCTATAATCATATATTTCATTATTTTTATATAAAATATTATATATTTTACTCATAAAATTTTTTCAATATTCGATTTAAAATATGTTCCATATTTTTGTATATTTCATTATTACTTAGGAAAATATATTATAAGTAAATTATTATATATATTTCATTATTTTATTTGAAATATTATACTTTCTTATCTATAAATAATTTTAGTATTTCACTATTTTTAAGACTACTATTCGCGAACTTTCGACATATAATTTTTTTTTAATATTTATATTTTTTCTTATTATTAACATTATTATACTACAAACAGCAGTTTGAATTTTATTGGGCGTTCCTCAATTTTTTTCTCGAACATTTTATGATTCCAATTTTTTATTATTGTTAAATATAACTAATCCTTCTTTACTTTTACTAAGTTTTCAATTTTTTTTTGCCGAAATCCCTTAATCTAATATTTATGAATCTTATTATTTTTATTTTCTTATATTTTTTTGGGTTATTAAAATATTTTTTTATATTTTACATTATAATATAAAATATTTTTTCATAAATTTTTTATATCTCATTATTTTAAAGACTTCTCCTTTTTATTTTTTTGGGTTATAAATATTTTTTTAAATATTCATTATTTTTTTGATTAATTTTTTTATATTTTAATTATTAATTATTGAAACTTATTTATTTTTTTAAAAAAAATTTCATTATTTTTTCTTTTCTTTCCGCGTTTGAAGGCACTTCTCTATATTATATTTAATACTTTTATTTTCTTTATATATAATTTTTTTTTACTTTCAAATATGGATTATTGCGCGGTTTTATATTGCAATATGTTTAAAGACTTGTCATTTTTTTTATAATCCTCTCTCTTTTTTTCATTATTTTTTATAGACATCTTTATTTGTTCGTTGCAAATATTATTAGTTTTCTTAATATAAAACTTGTTTTTGAAAAATTATATTATTTTTAGTGAATCTCATTTTACGTGTAATTTATTATCATTTATTATAAATATCTCAGTTTGGTATTATAAATTTTGAAATTAGTTTATTATACATTTTATGGCAGTCCTTCTCTATTAATTTTTTTGCGCGCTTTCATAGGTATAATTTGCATATTTTTCATGCCTTATTACTCAACACTTCGCGCTTTTTTTTAGCATTTAGTACTTTTTATTGCTGACCTTCGTTATTTATTAATAATTTTGTTTATTATTAGTTTTTGGCGCTTCTATAATTTATAAAATTCCTCTTTTTCACCTTTTGTGTACTCTGAGTTTTCAGTAATTTATACTACGCTTCACGCTTAATTTTTTTCTTTTTACTTTTGTTCACTAACTTTTTGTAATTATATATTTGGCGCACTTTAAAAAATACCCAGATATATTAAAAACTAATTTCTTTCTTCATAATTTTTAATAGGTTTATGTCATTTTTTATATTTTATATTATTTTTTTGCGCCTCTTATATAAATAACTTTTTTTCATTATTTATCACGCCCGCTCTTAGTATTACTATTAAAGACAATTTTTATTTTTATTTTTATATTACATTATTTATTTTTTTTAATTTCTTCTATAATTTATTATAATACCATTAAAAAACAAGTTATAACTTGCGCGCTTCCAACGGTTATTATTTTATTAAATTGCGATAATGATATCTTTAAAACTATCATTGCTTTATCCACTATTTTTGGTGAATACCATAAACTTTGCTACTAAAGTCATTGGTTACAGTACGCATTACACAACGTCCTTATATCCCCCAATTACCACGTGACTGACACTTTTTTAAACACCCACGTGCCAATTCCATTATATTTATATTTTTAACTTTTTCTTTAGAATTGTTTGGGAATATAATGAAGACGATGATGAACTCGATTATTCGTTATATCCATCACTTTGAAGAGTAAAAAAAATGTTTTTCCCATA